ACACATGGCAAAGGGCCACAGGTCAGAGTTGAACCCAGGCTGCTGCAGCAAGGACTCAGCCCTGGTAACATGGGCCACCAGCTCTACCTGGTGAGCTACCAGGGCGCCCTCGTGGAGATCTCGTGGAGATCTCGTGGAGATCCCAGTGTTTCCAAAGATACTAAATGTCAGGCTGAATTCTGGCAAGAAGTGTGTAACATGATGCACAAGACATCTATTGTGCAATAGATATATTTCTATTGCCACCATAAAAACAAACAAAGTCTTGCGGTGGAATATTTCACTCTGTGTAAGCATCACACAATATAGCTTTGAGCTGGAACAAGTTAAGGTTAAATGTACATGTTCAGGGAAAAAACCTAATCAGCAACTATTCTGATAACTGACAATCATTAAAGTAATTTTTCAAGCAAAAATATCAGATCATTTTCTTTGTCTTATGTGACTGTAAACTGAAAATGTTTGGTTTAGCCCTTCATATGATACAGACAGTGTGGAACAAGATGATGTTAACATCCTTAAAGCTACATAGGAGGAAACAAAACTGCACACGCTAAACTGTTTATAGAGTCACTGGTCAAATGTGAAGCTTTTCTACATTTTCTATGACAGGAAACTGAATATTGTGAGCCTTTTTTTCAGACAGTCAACCCTGGGAAACTGTTCACAACAAAGAATCTAGAAAAGAATCTGCTCGATTGATCTGAAGATGGAAATAATCGTCTGATGTTTGTTGCAGTTTTATGTGAATGTAAATGGGTTACTTACATTCACATAGACAAAACAAGTAATTTGATTACATCACTTTGGACATCTTTCTCTATTTTCTGACATTTTATGGACTCAATGATTATTGGATTAATTGGAAAATGAATAGAGCGATAATAGTAATACTGTGTCATGTTGTTTCATATGATAGAGGGTTCTACGTACTACTGCACAAACGCTGCACCTCAAGTCATGTGATTGTTTGCCTCTCCTGTGTCCTCTTAAACGTCATGCATTGTGTGTTTTTCAGGAGGTTAAGTGGTGGTGAAATGTGTGCATGGGGGGGGGTCCTGTTCATGATGTGGCCTGAGACAGCACCGCCACTGTATGCTGGTTATAGGGGAGGGTATTGTACGCTGCTGCCTTGTCTGTGCAGAAGTGCAGGCTCTTATCATCCTCGTCTGGGCTGTGTGGCACTCAGGGCGGATGTGCTCATCCCTCAGGAATAGTCTGGTATTGTTAGCTGGTGAAGGAGGCCCAGCCATGACAGCAAACAAAGGGACAACACACACGCTTCGGGGATAAAAATATGCACTATGTCAACAAACCTTTCTGTGTGTGTGTGTGTGTGTGTGAACCTCAACTGTGGGATCAATATTAGGTCCACAGATAATGATTATTTCTACTGCTGATTATTTAATTAATCAACAATCCTTTGGTCTATAAAATGTCAGAAACAGTTAATAGCTCAGTCAAAAACTAATAAAGTTCACATTATAAAAGATGAAGAAAATCACAAAATCTCCACATTGGAGAAGCTGGAACTAGTGAATGTTTGGCAATATCTTCTTGAAAAATGACCTCAACAATGAATCTACTGTGTTATTTATTACTGATTACCTCTCTAATTGATTAATTGACTAATTTCAACTCTAGCCAATATATCTCCTAAGACTAATTGATTAGGCCCTAATTGAGTAATCTTTCAGCTCTGGCTAAATGTCAGCTTCTCACACATGCCTGAGTTTACTTATTTTCCCATGGTTTTAGTATAGTAGATTTTATAGTCCAAAAGAGAGCTTTAACAAACAAAAGATCAATTTTAAATAAAAACAAGAAGCCAAAAGTAGGAGTTGACAACACAGATTCTAAATATGGTTTTAAACTTTGGACTCAGAGCTTGTAAAGTTCCCCTGAAGGCCTTAAGATATATTTATTGCCCATGAAAACCTTGTACTTACCTTAAGTATATTCTCATAGATGGTGTCCCGGAAATCCAGAAGTGCTTTTTTATCAAACTCTTGCCCGTTAATGATGCGCATCTGTTTGAGGAATGTGGACTTTCCGCTCTCCCCGGCCCCGAGCAGGAGGATCTTCACCAGCCGGCGGACGGCTCTCCTCTCCCGGGCGAGCATTGCGTCTATCTCCCGGCTCCGGCGCCGCGCCTCCCTCTCCTGCGCCGCGTCCCTCTCCCGGCTCCCCTCCTTGCTGCTGCCCGGGTCCCGGCTGGCCTCGGCCGGGAGCAGGCAGCGACTCAGGGTGCGGACCACTCCCGACATGTCGAGTCGTGGGAAAAGTTCACCGAAACTTCAGTGGGAAAATGTTCATTATAGGATGCGACCTCTGGGGTGGAAATGGCCCAGTCCGGTTACATCCAGCTGATGAATAACACGTTTTTAGCGGATAATTAAATAAAATCTACATTCAGATGTAATGAGGGAAGCCGTTATCTAGTCTCCAACCGGCAGACAACTCGTGTCCATCTTGGTTAGACCGCGCCATCAACAAAAAATCTATCTGGATAGAGAGGAAACAAAGGCTGGAAAGGTTCAAAAAGTTCTAAAAGTTCAAATGTTTGATTCCGTCCTGGTTAGAAAATTAGATCTGAAGTTGATCAGAAAGCCTCTCTGTCCATCCAAAGCAAAACAATAGTGCGGGCAATGCAAAGACACACACACACGCACACACACACTGGGACAACCTATCCAAACTCTCCATACACAGCCAGCGGGTTGGTGAACTTGGGTAAGAGCAGCTCCTCCGGGCGGCGGTGGGACGGTCAGACCGATGTGGAGGTGCTCTACCGGGGATCACCGTCAGGGGACGCCCGCGGTCACCGGAGGGCGGGGGTGATAAAGCAAAGTCAGTTTATCAGGATCACCTTTTCCTGTTATCTAAAGCTATGACCTTTAACCTTTACTGCTCTATTGTGGAAACAATCTTTTATGCATGGCTGGGTACAGGGTTGGGAAGGTTACTTTAAAAATGTAATCACAATATTAAAGTAACTAGATTACTTTCTGTTACTTTTGGATTACCTCAACACCAAATAAGCAGATAAATAAAGAGAAAAGAAATTATAATGAGAAGTAATAATGATAATTGATGCAAGTTTTAAGATTTTTAAAGAAAAACTGATGTATTTTAAAATTATAGAATATAATATAAAGAATAATCCTTCTGAATAATCAAATTTTTTACTAAATGTAACTGTAATCTGATTACAGGTACCCTTTTTTGTATTCTGATACTCATAACTCAGTTTCATGTAATTAATATCTCCCCAATCCCGGTTACATACTTTCATACTTGCTGTAATTATTACCTGTCATTTGTGTTAATTTGTCTTATTTAAATCATTTTTGTGTGTTATTGATTTGGTTTTGCTGTATTAGGATCAGCTGCTATTGTTTTCATTAAGACTTTGCTTTCATGATTTTTTTTTAATGTGTGGAAGATTACGGGGATCCAGTAACATAAACATCAAGCAAACACAAAAATACCAAAAGAAATAGTTACTGATTTATGTTATTCTTTGCAAACATTATAACTTTATTCTCATGAGATTCTTTATGCAAACGAGAATTAAATGAGTATCTGTGTCCTTCTGGGGGTCTGTGGTGTAAAACCTTCCAAATTTTTACTCCAACAACTCTAAATTACTAAATAATTGTTGAAATAAAGCACTGAGGATTGCAGTGTTTATCACCTTAAAGATATTTGTTTTAAAATTGCTCCTCATTGTATTTCTGAGCCCTGAACCTCAGCAGCTCAGGTGAATCTTTAAATCCTCAGAATGGATAAAATATTTCATTAGCTTTTACTTCAGCAATTTATTGGAAGCTACTTTGGTTGCTGTAAATTGTTTTTCTGTTCATTTACTGTATTAGTTTTGTTTATCTGTCCATTAAATCTCAGTTGTACCTCAGACAGAGAAATGCACTTTATAGATATGGATTCAATCTGGGGAATAAAGTATTTCAATATTGTATGGACTTAATGTTTATCCATTTTATTTTCAGTTTCACAACTTACTTTTTATATTTTCCTTTTCCAACATATTTTTTGGTCTTTTTGAATCATCCTTCGACATTATTTACAAACCATTTTTGCCAAGAGCTTCAGAAACCAACCAATGTTCCTTAGCTGCAATACTTACCCTGCCCCAAGTCTTCTGTAAGTTGTGATTATACGACAAAAAATACACATTTGTTTAAAGAAATTCAACCAATCAGTTGAAATATCGACTCATATCAAATCTAGATTATGACACAGAGCACCTCAAGATCAGGTGAAAATACAAGAGTTTTTATTATGTAACCAAGTCACAATTAATCAAATTACTATATAGTTTTTCTCACACAAACAACCTTGGTCCTGCAGTGGAAGCTGAGGGACCGGGATCCAAGTTCCCAACCGAATACACCCACTTATTTTTTAGTCGGCACTGGGTATTCCCATTTCTACTGTACATCCTCTCTAATGCATCATTCAGTAGAGTTCTGCCAGCTTCATTTTCTATCCTCTATCTATCCTTATGAGCCTCTTCTGTGGCTCATAAGGATCCTTATTCTCTGAAGTCAGTCAGCAGAAGTTAAGTAACAGTGTGCAAATACTAATGATAAAACAAAAATTGATTATACCCACTTCGCAGGGACAATAGAGGCATTTGATTTGACATTGAACTATTTCACAAACTAGCTACATTCAGTTCAATAATTATGTCAAGGGTTCAACAATAATGAAAACACAATTTCATGTTGAAACGACCAAACTAGCCAAACAATGTGTGTGTTTTCCTTCACAGGAGTCTGTAAATATGCCTCTACCAAGTTGATATAGTGTAGACTTATGAGATGTTCTTTAAGCCAATAAACACGTTGACCAGGCCGATACAATCTATTCAACTTACAACTAAGAGTACAAGTAATCAAGGCCACGATAAAGGCATTGCTTAAAGAGTGCACAACTCTCAGTAAAACCTACTGTAATTAAATACAGGTTAAACAAGAATTACAGTGTCGGCTTAAACTCAAAGTCTGCTTTTCTCTCCAAGCTGGTTCCTCAACTAGTGTCTCTTTTCATCATCACAATGGCGCCACACTTTCTCTTCTTCTGTCAAACAGCCAGACAGGCCAAAGCATCCTTGTACAAACCAGTCCATGTCTCTGGAGAACTTAAGCTTCTCATTCTTGACAGCCTCCCTGCCAGAGAAACTAATCAGCCACGGGATCCAGGCTGTTTCAGGGCCAGTTTCACTACAAGAATAATCTTCCTCACACACGCCAGTTGGGTCCCCAGACCTCGAGTGCTTCAGCAGATTCCTTTCTGCCCACCAACTGTCTGCTGTTACCAAGATTGTGATTGTGAGCCAAAGGAAGTGGACCCAGCTTCATTCAGCCAGCTGGATGAGGCTGTAGACACGGAGGTGGGAAGTTGTGAGGAGGAGTGAGGTCCGCCAGACTGAACCCATTTGGATACATTTGAATTGGCATGGCCTCACCTAAACATTGCTTAGAAATGTAGAAACTAGCCCATAAAACACATTTCCTTGTACAAAACATCATCTCAGTTAAGTAATTTCATGTGAAATATATATTTTTTTTTACAGAAATGTGAAAGAATGAAGATGCTCAATTGTTGCTAAAGCCAGGAAAGCAGATGTCATCAACGTTATATAGAACACAGTCTGTGAATATCAATTATTCAGCTATTAAAAATGAATACAGATGGGTTTCTGATGTAATATTGCCTTGAATATGTTGGATATTTCACATTTTTTTCTCCTCTAACTATTTTCTGTCTTAATTCACTGTTTTCTTTTCATGATTAGATTGTAATATTAAAACAACAGTAAAAATAAAGTGGTGAATTGAAGCAAATTAATAAATTGATAACAGTAAATTGATAACAAAGTATAAAAATGTTTTAACTCGCCAAACTAAGACTATATTAATAGATTTCAGGTACTATCTTATTAAGTACTAAAGATGAAGAATTAAATTGAAGGTTAAGTTTCTGCAAAGGCTCTTTCTGATATTAGATTTTACTTGGAGGCAAATTCAATGCACAAAACATTTTCTTTTTTTAAAATGAACACTTTTGCCAAACAAATGGGAAACAATGCCTCCGTATTAGCTTCCATCCTTTATAACCCTAATGGGACATTACATTAGATTATGGAACTTAATTAAAAAAAAACAAAATGTCACTGAAGTCAATCCAAACAGCCCAAAACTAAAGCACAAATAATAGCGCTGATGTACGCCTATACAAGCATACAGCTGTTTCATTGCGCCCACAGTAGACACTTTAACTTGTCATAGCAGGAAAAGCACGGGTGTTAGTAATGACATTAACAATGACTGCACTCTATTCAAATGTCACAGTGAGCCGCGACAGTGAGGCAGCTTGAACAATACCAGGAGCCTGAAACTGAAGCAGCGGAAGTTAATTCATCTATGATTAATTCTATTACTTACACCTATATTATGGGTAATATGTGTCCCTCAGCAACCTTGAATGCTGGGTGCTCTTTAAAGCACATGGAGGAACATATTGTGAATATAACTGAAATATCTGTTAATGAAAGAGGCCCATGCATGAGGAAAGAGAAGCTGAAAAAATCAATAACTTGTTGAATGCATGCAACACAAAAACAACATTATATTCCTAAAAATCTGAAGCACAAAATTACTAAACTGAATGTGAAATTAATTTCATTTCCCCAATTTAAGTGTGACCAAACGGGCCCCCGGCTCAAATAATTTGACACAGAAAAGCGAAATTGCATCATCAAAAGGTAATTTTGGATTTAGCAAATAATGTCATTCACACAAAATGAAGTATTTAGTTTCCATGTCTATGTGGTATAGATGAGACGTATCTCTATATAGCTCTTGGCAGCACCAGGAAGTTCCTCAACTTCTTCTCTGATTCACTATTACAAACTCTTAAATAATTAAAAATGTACATTATATTAAATTATATTTTATTTGTCTGTCCTGGAGGAGAAATTCCTCTTGTGGTATCTTTCTTTTTTCCTATTAAAGGTTGTGTGTGTGTGTGTTGTACAGATTGTAACTTAGATGTTTTTTTTCCCTCTGAGATCAATAGTCTAAAAAACAAGTCAAATCACAAATATTGCAGTTCTAACTTTCTCTGGACAGAGGGCGCTGTTAGATCAGATTTGAAAACAAAAAAAAACAAGGTACCTCTCCTAAAACAAGCTCTTGTTTTAACCCTCAGTTAAAAACAAAAAGGAAGGGAGAGACAGTGAATGAAATGCATGGTCAGCAAGCAAAGGTATCAGCAACGAACCAAGTCACGCTCAGAACATCATGTTCTTTATTGACTCAATCATGGAGTTTAGTGTTGTGGAAGACGCGACCCCCACACACGCACTCATACGCACACAAGAACAAGTTATTCTATTAAAATGACTCCAGGCTAATTTAAAAATCCAACAGCAGTGGCAGTCTATGAGCCAATGCAGTGTGTGTCTGCATATAATATTTGAATGTATAAGAAAGGGAGAGGCAAGATTAAAATTCATCTAGATAGCAACACACTCTTCTCATGTAATTAGCCTAAAAGCCTTTTCATCAGGCTCCGAACAACACCTTACACACACACACACACACACACACTAATGGACACCACCAGAGTTTGCTTATACCCACTTATATTGTACATTCACCTCTTAACACTACTGGAAAAGGCATCTGTGTAATGGCACCATTGCCTTGGTGTGTGTTTGTGT